AACAACATTTTAACTCAGCACATTTTATTGTCCATCCCTTGTTTTGGCCTGTGCATTCGTAATGATCTGTTATAAGAAGCTGAGTATTTGTATTTCTCAGATTTTTAAACACATTTTGAGAATGAGGTTCACACTAGCCTTGGTTTTATCGGCAGGTATAACAGATGCAAAATATGGAATCTATGTCTTCTGTTTCAACATGAAACTTATAACCATTAATGTGATTTTAATTTCACTATTTTACACTGACTGCATTTGAAGTTTAAACATTTCGCAAGTGACAACTTCTCATATATGAATTAAGCTGATTTTTAGTTCCATTATTTTAAATGAGTTTTTATATTAATATTAAGCATCAAACATCTCCCTCCATGTCTGTATAATCTCTTCAGAGGTGACAGTTGACATAACAGCGACCTCTGGCCACATTGAATGTGTGTCCACAGTCACCAGTAGCTTGGCCCCTTTGACTGGTTCTGCGAAATCCAAATGGATGCTTTGCCAGGGACATGCTGGCCAGTCCCAGGGGTGCAGTGAGGCCAGGCTTAAAGGCTCTTCTCAGAGAACTGCAACATAAATTCCACGGCTGTCGTCCTGTTGATCTGCTGGATAATTTTCAGAAGGACATCTGCTGGTCTATACTCCCACCGAAGAGTCCGATCAGTGATAAGAATTCGGAGTCTCCACCCTGAACTTTATATTGCGGGTCCAGCTGCTATGTGTTTTCCAGCTTGCCAGTAGAGGTCAGTACAGGTCAGTCAGACAGTAGGGGAGGGGTATTGATAAAGGTGGGGCCGCCTTTATTCAGGCTGTGAGGAACCTACAGTGGGCACCCAGGAGTAGCGTCCAGGACAGTCTGCAGTTTGCAACCAGGGCTGCTGTCCCTGAATAGGGACTGGAAATGGATGTCAGGGGTTGACGGTCCATCAGTTGGGTGAACCTTCATCCGGAAGGGTAAGTGTGGAACTGTTTAATTCCGATACTGCCAAGGGTTTCTTTCTCAATTTGTGGATATTTCATTTCTGCTTTTCTCAGTATTTTTGAAGCAAAAGCTATTTACATCTTCTACTCCCCCAATGGTGCTGGACACCATGGCAGCCAATTCACATGGGGAGTCATCGCAGGTGAGCCGGAGTGGCAAAGATGGGTCGTAATGTGCCAACACCCTTTAGCTAATTAGCAGCATTTTTGCCGGCTTGGACGCCGCCTCACACTCATCTGACCACGACCACGATTTGCTCTCCTTCAGTTGCTCATACAGAGGCTTTAGCAGTCTATCCATCCATTTTCTGAAACCGCTTATCCTATCAGGGTCACAGGGTTCCGGAGCCTATGGAACAACCCAAGACGGGGCTCCAACCCATCACAAGCTTTAGCAGTCTATCCAGCTATGGAATGAATTTCTCACAGTAATTCAGAAGACTAAGAACAGACCTCAGCTGCCTCACATTCTTGGGGGCCAGAATCTCTGTAGACCTGTAGAAATCACATTTCATCTGGTGCATTCATAACTCACAGACCTCAAGTCTCCTGAGGATCTTTTCCAAATTCAGATGTTCTGTATCATCTTTACCAGTCACAAGGAGGTCATCCAAGTATGTCTCCACCCCAGAGACCACTCAGTTTTTTATTCATGTCTTTCTGGAACAATGCAAGAGCCATAAATAACACCAAATGGAAGGCATCGATGTGTGTGAAGCCCTCTATGGGTGCTGATGGTGAGAAGTTCTTGTGACTCTTCCTAGAGAAATGCATCTAGAGAAAGGCCTGGCTGAGATCAGTTTCGCTAAACTTCCTTCCACCATCCAATCCAGAAACAAGTTCCTCAATGACAGGAAGTAGGTAATATTCCACAGTTAGTACAGGGTTTAAAGTCACATAAAAGGCCCTCACAGGTAAGATGACCCATCTATTTTTATAATCCAACACCAGTAATGTACAATATCCCCAGTCACAACCAATCTCTGTTTCTCTGCGTTGACTTTATGCTTCAGCACATAGGGGACCTTCCTGGCCTTCATGAAGCATGGTGTGGTGTCAGGCTTCACCTGCAGCTTGACCTTCTTCCCCTTCATGCTTCTCGGTTCATCCTTGAACACCACTGCATGTCGCCTCAGCACTGCTGAAGGCCTCGTCTCATCCACTGACACTTTGTTCACTTTAAGATGCAACTTCATTACAGCGTTACCAGCTGAAAACTGGCTCCGGGCCTTTCCGCCATGTTGTGGTTCTCTGAAGCACCATGGAGTGGGCATGCTCAGATGATTATAGTAGTTCTCACTCCAAATTACAGTTGACCAATAGATGTGTAAGATGTACACCCCCTTCTAAGACCTGCCCACCTCTTAAAAAATCCAGAAGCAAAACAAAAAAGAGAACAAAAAAGATTTCATTCTAATTTTTAATTGATATTTGCTATGCATATTTTCATTCTGATACTGAATAATTTGCATGCAGTTTTCAGAATTGTGATAAATTCTTCTGGCACAAAATTAACTCCATACCTGTCACATTCAAAAAAGTTGCCATGACCAGCTCCTCTTTAAGGCCATTAGCTTGGACAAAAAATCTGAACTGTTCACAATAAACACCCCAGCTCTCATTGTTTCATCAGACTCTGGTTAACGACATTTTGTTACTTTTTATATAAACTGGTCATTTATCTTCTTGATTAGCATGTTTGTTTTTGCTAGCATACATTGAATCACTCGAATGTCTCTCTCTCCTCTTCCAAATGCTACCAGGTACAGAAGCAAAACATCCACAATGTCAGCCGTCAAATTCCACAATTCCCAGGAGTGAACAGCAGCAAATAATGAGGGGCCGTTTAGAATATATTTCACACTTGTTACACAAACACATATGAAACTCACATTCACATGTGAAATTTATAATCACACATTCATACTACTGAAAACTCACACACACACATATGAAATGCTCGCACACATACAGGTGAAATTAGCTCTCACACACACACATATGAAATGCTGATACACATACATCTGAAAAGCTCACGCACATACATAAACACTTTAACTGTGAACAATTCTTATAGGATGAATGATGCTTTTCACACGTTTATGTGTGAGAACCTTTCACTATATCCGGAAGGTATTTCAATTAAAATTTTGGATCCCCGAGAGCGTTTACGGTAGATCTGAAACGGGACCGTGTAAAGACCGAAGCAGTCTGCTTATTAAATACAATTTTATTATATAAGGGATTTTCATTATACTCCTAACGGAATGGCATTCTTCCATTCCTCATACTTGATCACAAAACTAGATGATACTATGCATTTGCGAACTTTGCTCTTTTATCTTTTGCTCTGGTTGTTTGGTGTTTGGGGCAATGAAGATATGATACTGTTCTTCACTGATGCACTGCGATGCATCAAGGCAATACATAGGGAGGCATAGTTGGAGGGCGTAGTTGGTGCAACAGAGCTGATATTTATAGCAGTTGCGATGTTGTTCATGACATCGGGGGATGATAAAATTGTATTTATCAAGCTAATGATACGGTCATGACACGGTACCGGTTCGAATCGCCCATGATGTGACAAAATACACGAGGATCCAGAATTAAAGCACCTTCCGGATATAGTGACACGTTCCCGCGCACATACATGTGTGAAAAGCTTCATTCATCCTGTAAGAACTATGCTTGTTACATAAGTAATTTTACATATGTATGCGTTAATTGCACCGGCATGTGTGTGAACATTTCATATATGTGTGAGAGTTAATTTCACCTGTATGTGTGCGAGTGTTTTATAGGGTGTGTGTGTAAGAAAAGTTTGAAATATTTCCTAAACAGCCTCTCATAGCAAAAAGTCTGTCCTAGTCGCCAGTGAGTGTTTGCATCCAGCTCACTGCATGTCCATATTTCATCTAAACCAGTGTTTCTCAGCACAGTCCTGGGGACCCCAGACAGGCCACATATTTGCTCCCTACTCAGCTCCCAACACAGAGGGATGAGAAACATCCTCTGTGTGAAACATGGTTTAATATTGTAGGGAGGACAAGTGATTTTATCAGTTTGACACGCTTAATGTCGGCTATGCTGACCATCAATTATTTAGAGGATGGACATCTGGTAAAACAATATAGGCTGATAGGCTCATATTCATTGTAATTTTATTTCAGTTAATCATGTATTTTGTTGCTTTAATTTATGTTTAGGTTTCGTGTCTCACGTTTTTCGTTTTATTTCAATAGTGATTAACTAAATGCTTTTGTTATTATAGTTTCAGTGTGCGTCACACAAAAATCACATTTAATCTGATCTGGATCAGCAACAATTTAAGTGTCACCTTTAGTAAAGAAAGCAATTGCTTGTTTTCTTTGTCTGATGACTTAACAGGATATAGTAATTAATTATTTACAGGCACCATTAATGTGAGGCTGGTGCAGGATTTGTATGAGGACAGTGACAGCAGAGAGGTGTGCGGTAGGAATGATGGACTGGTTCAAGGTGGAGGTGGGATTGCACCAAGGATCGGCTCTTAGCCCTGTCTTGTCTGTAATGGGGATGGACAGACTGAGGAATGCGATCAGACAGGAGACCCCATGGACTATGATGTTCACAGATGACATTGTGATCTGTAGTGAGAGGAGGGAGCAGACTGAGACGAGCCTGGAGAGGTGGAGGGATGCACTGGAGGGAAGGGGAATGAAAGTCAGTAAGAGCAAGATGGAGCGCATGTGTGTAAATGAGAGGGAAGGTGATGGAATGGTGTGGTGGCCAGGAGTAGGAGCAGTGAAGGTGGATGGGATTAGATTTTTGGGGTCAACTGTCCAAAGTAATGGAGAGTGAAATAAAAAAGTGAAGAAGAGGATAAAGGCAGGGTGGAGTGGGTGGGGAAGAGTGACAGAAGCATATCTGCAGGGGGGTGTCTTGTGTTTGTTTACATTTATTGTACCTTTGATCTGTAGGAAAAGGTCCATCGCTGAAGCTGATTGGTTGGCCCATTGACCAGTCACTCTTCATGGAAACACAGCTGGGTACAGGTGAGCCTGCTCTCTCCATCAGGACACTGTGGACAGTCAGGGGGAAAATCCTTATTATATAAATATAACATAGGTCTACAAAAAAAAAAAAAAACAAAAAACTTTTTTTCAAGTGCCAAGGTTTTTTGAATAGATTTAGGGTATTTTGAGGGTGCTGAATTCAAAAATCCCATTACTTTTGCTGAATTGGTTCTAATTTTTGAGACAATGGACATCCATGAAAATAATGCATTCTTCCAATGCGACATGTGTGTGATAACAAATGCAATAGCTTTTGGTCTGTCTTTTGACTCGTTAACAGTGTCTTAGGTAATGAAATATCCCATATGATTATTTTGTATCTCAATTTGTAGGCCTACAATGCTATAAAAGTGACTTTTTGAAGCCAGAATTCAACTGTGAATTTGCAGAGGAAAAAACTTGGCTACGGTATAACTTTGTCAACATAGTCTTGGTTTATACCCAAAAAGTTCTGTCTTAATAAGTATATAAATACATGTAAACATTATGATTTGATGGTCCTCAGATTCGTAAACTTATGAACAATTCCAATTTTACGAAATGCATGAATGACACTGAGGTTTCGGCCTGGAAGAATTTTGTCTCTGTTGTTAAGAACTACTTGGGTAAACAGAGCAGACAATTATGAAGAATTGGTGCAAGATATGCTTGCTAACTTCAGAAATGTGGGAGTTAATATGAGCATAAAGATGCAGTATCTCCATAGCCATTTAAACAGATTTCCAGATAACCTTGGAGACTTCAGCGAGGAACAAGGTGAGAGGTTCCACCAGGATATGAAGGTGATGGAGGAGAGATATCAAGGCAGATGGGACATACACACAATGGCAGACTACTGCTGGAGTCTCCAACGTGATTGTCCTGATGACATGGCTGTTGTTGCTTTTTATTCCTGTTTATTGATTTATTTGTTTATATATTTGTTTGTTTATGCTCTGCTTCACTATTTGTGAGCATTTTTGATAGAATGGATGATCTTTTTGTTGCCTCTAGTATAAAAGAACTGGCTGACTGTGGCAGAAAAAGGAGGAGAATGAAGATGCTGAGGTCTGTTTATTAATCTACACGCATTAACATGTTCCACACTGAGCCAGTCATAGCTAGGAACCCTTTCTGCTTTTATATTATGGCCTGACTATAAACCCATAGAGACATGCAGCTAGTGGGCTGTAACAATCGTTTTACCATAAATCACAATGTTCTTCACAACACGACCCTGACAGTGTTCTTGTCTTATTCAGGTATTACTCATATGATCACTGCTATTTATAATTCATTAGACTTAAAAAAATACTCAATGCCACATTTTTGAGGATATGTATTTTCAGAAATTACTGTCACATCAGCTGGGAAATACAACCCTCGATGCTGTCGGAACAACAACACTGTATTCTGTAAGTGGGAACACCATAAAATTAACCTCAAATGAGATTCCCCACAATAAATTTCACAGAGATCCCCATGATAAGTTTTACCAGATTCCTACTGGAAACCTTTGTATAAAAATATAAACTCCAATTTTAGAATATTCAGAAAATCAAAGATGCCACCAAAGATGTCGTGAAAAATTGATGCAGCAGCTCTAGGTGGCAGCAGAGGATAATGTCCAGGGAATATAATTAAATGCAGATTTTTAAAGGAAACTACATTTAATGAATGATAATCATGAATCATCTACTCATACAGACCTGAATCATTGAACTGTCAAGGAAATTAAGTTACAACTGATTACTCTTTCAAAAATGCTGGGAAGATTTTTTTATGTCGGTTTGAAAAGCAGTTGAAACAGACATAGCTTCTGTCTTACCTCTCAGTTCTCTTTGTTTTACACTCCACAGGGGGGGTCATTTCAGAAGCAGCTCCCTCCATTTTTGTGTCGATCCAGACCACTGTTGCCAACTACTCAGCAAGGAAAGTCGCTATTGGCTGTCCCAAAAGTCGCTAGATGTCGCTAAATTATGCCATCGCCTCATTTGCATAATGTGCATGTAATTGTAATGGACGCTGTAGGAGACAGGAATAATGTCGTGGGAGAGACAAACAGTGTTTTTCCAAAGATACGTTTAGAACTACAAATAAACTTTCTTTACACAGTATACAGTACAAGTCACAGTAAACAAATGAACCGTTAACATTTTTAACCATAACATTTTTTGTATAAAATCTACATTAACAATCTAAATGGACCAAAAAAGAACAATTGAAAAAAACTGTCAATGGCAATGTGAGAAAATGATGCACATCTCCTGCTGTGACTGCAGCTGGGCGGGGCTGCTGCGTGCGGACTGGCCACCTGTGAATGCTTTGGGACGAGAGAGGAGCCCACGGCAGCACCCGCTGCCCGGTGAGAAGAATAAGGAAGATACGTGCTATCACGTCAAAGTCCCCAAAAGTCTCCAGTAGAACCAGAAAAAGTCGCTAGATTTGTCGCTAGTCGCTTTTTTGAAAGCAAGCCGCTAGAGGGGTCTAAAAACTCGCTAAGTTGGCAACACTGCGTGTATGTGAATGTTTGTCGAGGCGGCACTGTTGCCAACTCCTCAGCAAGGAAAGTAGCTATTGACTGTCCCAAAAGTCGTTAGAAGTCGCTAAATGACGCCATCGCCTTATTTGCACAATTCCAACCCTCCTCCTATATCCGGGCTTGTGATTTTTTCTATTATTATTTTTATTAATGCTGTACTATATACAAACATTTTCTAAGCACGTTAGGATATAGTTCCCTGTGACAATATAAAAGGTAGAAGAGAACTAAAACAACAACAACTATGTTAATTTAATTATTGAGGTCTGTCTAGAATATCTTACTGTATCTACATTTCCAAACTAAATGAATCAGGATTACATCCAAAAGAACAGGACGCATTTATACCTCTTTTCAATTTGGCAATCTTACAATTCACTGGATAACAACGGTGAAGAATCTTTAAAGTTACCTCCCACCCCTTATTCGTAATAATGAAAGTCCTAGGTAACATCCAAGTAGATCCCCAATCTATGTCATCGAACAGATTATTCCAGTAAAATACTGCAGCTGTCTTGGAGACAATATTCCTCTGAATTACACTCACCTAAAGGATTATTAGGAACACCTGTTCAATTTCTCATT